GTCCTCCTCTGCCTTACTGCGCTTTGATGGAGACGTTGCATTTATACGCCTATCTAATGCCTCCCAAATGGAAGTAGTGCCTTGGGAGTCTTATGTTGACTGGCTGTTTGGTGCTAGCATTGGGAGTACCAGTTGGAGTCGATTCAGGAGGGATGTCCAGTAGAAGCGAGAGTAAAGTGAACACTTGACCGCGCTCAGAAGCTCGCTCAACCACGGCACCGTCTAATGGCAATAGGAAACGTTCCGCAGAGTTCTCCCTAAGCTCGATGATGTCTGTCCTGAGCAAGAGAGTCGGAGGCGCTGAGCCCGCAGAAGTCAGTGGTTGGTACATGTTGTCCCACTGCACCTCCATGAACTTCGTGTCGAGGAAAACATGCGGTCCTATCTCTACATCACATCTTCCCAGAAAGACAAGACTATGTGGGGGCTGGTGAATATCAATAGTGGTTTTCCCTCGATGTCGCACAGAAAATTTAGTTAAAGGAGGGTTGTTGATCCACCTTGAACGGGCTGAAGAGTAGGCGTTCATTTCAGCACTCGAGAGAGCGTGTATAGGCGCCTACATTGTCTCAGAGTATGTAGAAGCACAAGACTGCAAAGCAGTGTGTCAAGCTTTCTGGCCGTGGTGATGACACTGCACTGATACTTGCCTCTACCATCAACGGCTAGTTAGTCCAGCGAACGGTGCAAGGGACTGAACTGGCACCTCTGGAATTGATTTAAGAGTCTTTGTGGCTTGCTGCTCAGCGTCCTCGCCCCGATTGTCTTCTATCAGACTGGCATCATCTTCGCCTTCCTCCCATCGAGGAATACTACCAAGTGGCAGTTTTATAACTGTAGGGGCTGCCGCTGCAGTCGCCATAGGATTTACTTGGCCCCTTTGTGGTCTATATGGGAAACTGTCAGTGGTCAAAAATTACCTTGCTTGCAAGGCAGACTCAGTGCCAGTCGCTCACGTGAGTTTCGCCGAAGTAAGCGACTGCGACTGGCGCAATAAGCTGTTATTGTTTGTTTAACTCGAGTGTTTTGTCCTCGATAATAACACAGATATGGCTACTGAATTGCATTGGATTGAATCGCCTGAACTACGAGTGTACATAAGTTGTGCAATGCAATTTCAGTGTGAGTGCATGCGGTCATCAACCCAACCCATTGGGAGCACATTGAAGGTTGTGAAGTTAGTACCCGGTGTGCACACGAGATTTAATGGTTTATATATTCATCAGCAAAAGTCCGTTATGCTCCGGAGCATCAAGAGTGGCTGGAGCATGTAGGAGACAAAACAGCAGATTGGGCACTCCTGGAGCCAATAGTGTTCTCCTGGGAGGGGGTTCAGGAGCAGCTGGGAGTGGTGATGTGTTGTAAATCCGGAGTTCCAAATATGGCAACCCGCTTCAGCGGTTCACTTGCAACCCAGATGTAATATAGAAAGAAATATAACTAAAATACACACGGTGCTCCAGTGCCCATATTCATACTTCTCAACAATATTCCAGGCTCTTCTATGCCCAGCGCTTATGCAGGCACCTAGTAACCCCTAGAATATTCCCGGATATTCCGTTTCAGTTTTCATCATGTGACTTGTATTCCAACATGATGAGTATGCAATGTGCCAGGAGCAGTGGAAGGAAAATTTTGGTCTCTGAAAAGTTGAAAAAAAAAATATAGGGAAAAAATCAAAAAAAAAATTCAGGAAACTATAGTGCCTTTGAAGTGCTTTCAGGACATACCAGGCTACAATTGTTATGAGGGTTCCCCTCAAACTGGATGGCCGAGCTTGCAGTGCCTTCGGCACTGCACTGCAAGCTTGGCCATCCAGTTTGGGAGGAACCCTCTAACAAACCGTACTGCAATTTCAAATATATGCCATCTTCATTTGTATGCAAAGTGTTTAGTTCAGGCAATGGTCTATTTGTTGCAGTAAATAAACTCCATACCCAATCCAAGAATCTGAGCCATATCCACAGATTGAAATGTGCATTCAGTGTCAGGGATCACTTGTCAGTTCAAGTCAAGTATCACCCAAAAAACCTAGTCATAGACAAAGCTGAGGTTCCAACCCTCAGCAACACATAGGGCTATATACATGAGAGATATGAATCAATTGGAAGAAAAAGGATCAACAGAACTAAATGATGAGGTAGGCAACAAAGTAATAAAAGCAGGGAGATACTCAGCTCAAGGGGCGGAGTCAGATCAGGGAAAGGGGTGAGAGAGTTATGGGCTGATGCAGCTACATGCGGTGATATATGTAGTCATATGCTATGTCCCCAACATTCAGATTGGCCCACAAAGATATGCCAATATGGGTCTGATCTGCTAGGAGCCCTAGATGTCAGGTAGAGGGAGGGTGCATGGACACTCCTCCACATCTATGTGGGTTAAAGTCTTGGCAGGTGACTGATAAAAATGGAAGCAGGATTGCATATATACATGCTACCCAGGGAAATCAATGTTATTAAGTTGCCATCATAGTGTACCTGATATTAATCAGAGACAGCTAGCCATGTGTTCTGCACTTGCTCCCTGTCCTTACTCCACATTGGTCACTGCAGGGGCTGTCCTGCTCTGCTCCATATGGCATTATTAAAGAGATACGTTCCCACCACACCACAGCCCCATACCCAACTTCCCAACCCCCTACCCGACCCAACCACTAACCCAAACCCCCAACCACCAACCCAACCCATGGGCAATTACTTTCCAGGCATGCATACACTCACTCACTCACACAGCACACAGCACACAGCACACTCAGCACCCAGCACACTCAGCACCCAGCACTCAACACTCACACACACAGCACACAGCACACCACACTCACACTCACAGCACACAGCACACAGCACACCACACTCACACCACATACCACACCACACTCACACACCACACTTGCACACCGCACTCACACACCGCACTTGCACACCACACTTGCACACCGCACTCACACACCACACTTGCACACCGCACACACACAGCCCTTACCCAAACAAATGCATGCCTTGCAAGCTCAGCCAACAAACCACTGCCTCAACCCATGGCAATTACTCTCTGGGCATACTGTGCTGCTGGATGTGACTGCATGTATAGATGTCAGAGGAAGAGGACCCAATCAATCAATCATCATCTAAAAATACATATTCAGATACATCAACATCATATGGGTTTTCATGAAAATCAAGCTGTTCATGTCTAACATTATCTCGGAGCAACATTCCCCGAATCCCACCTTCTGGATTATTGACTTTTTGGAGACGGGTCAGGTCAAATGATGTTCTGAATGCAATTCCCTTGATGGACTTGACCCGTGAGATTGCAACATATGATAATCCAACTGCAAAGTCACTTGGTCCCAAATCAATCACTGCCCTTTCAAGTGTTAGACCTTGACTCTTGTGGATGGATATACCCCATGCAAGGGTGAGTGGAAATTGAGTGCGGGAAAGTGAGTGTCCATCTCGAGTGTCCCAACGTGTAGTGAAGGGGGTAATGGGCACAACTGGGCAATCTGGATTGGCTTGAGATTGCCACCTTGGATCCACAGGGCCAGTGTATGCTGGGAAGCATACAAAAAACAACCAGAGGAATGTCTTTTGTGGGATCAGCATGAGGTGCATATCCAATACACTCCACTGTTCCACGAGCACCATTTACAAGACCTGCCATTACATCAGTGCCTTGTGGGGAAAACCATATATTTATATGTCTCACCTTTATCTGTCCAATATTCCAGGTGAGCATGACAGAAGCACCTTCAGCTAGCAAAATCTCATTGTCCAAACCTTCTGCCTCTTCTTTGGATGCAGTTGCTGCCCCTGTCCCATGGTTTATTGCCTTGATACGAACAACAGGTTTATTTAATGATGCTAATCGATGAAGGTTCAAGGTATCAACAAGCTCATTGTGTGGGAGGAGATGAATTTCTGTTGAGAAAACTCTCTCTTTCATGCTGGGGGAGACTATTCCACATGCATGGAACCAGAAGTTGGCTGAAATCATCCAAAGTGACCTCATTGGTCCGAAGACGTTGAAGGAAATCACGGAAATGTCTCTGTTCTCTATCCACACCTTCTTGGCAGAAGATTTGCTTGAGGATGATTGACTCAGGAATGGAATGATAGAGACGATTTCCAACACAGCTGAGGTCATGCTTCAGATTAGCTGTGGTAAATAAAGGGGCTTCACCAACTGGTGGGAGTTGACAGAAGTCTCCAAAGAGGATTAGGGACATGCCAGCCAGTTGGTCATCTGCTGCTTCAGGGAAGATATCTTTGAGGCGACTGATGACCTTTCCAGCAGTTCTACACCCAACCATTGACTTCTCATCAAGGATAATCAACTTGATGTCCTTCCACCAGGCTTGAAGACGTGCTTTCCCAGAATTTGTTAACCCTGCCCACTTCTTGGCACCAATTCCCAGAGCATAATGGATTGTCCAGCCCCTAATTCCAAATGCTGCCACACCTGTGGGTCCAAGGATGCCATATCCAGTGGCAAGGTCATTAAGGGATGTGCATATGGCCCCTATGAGGAAGGATTTTCCAGTCCCAGCGCTTCCATCAATGTTGATGCGGAGAGGGTTTGGCTTAGGGTTGGTATGGTCTTGCAGGTGCCTGAATAGTGCTTTGAAGTATGCCATAACCCGAATGAAGACAATTCTCTGGTTGCCTTTCAGCCTCTGGTATTCAACTGGAGTGAATTCCAGATCTGAACTGCCTCCTTCAGTGACTTTTGCCTCCTTCAAGAACTTTTCTGCATCCCTGAGAATATCAATGGGTGGTGAAGACTGGCTCCAGTTGTGTTGAAGGTCCACAGGCCTTGTTCCCAATGCTGTGATTTCAACATCTGGTTGTTGATTGGGCCCAAGTAATGCTTCAAACTGCCAATCAGCTCTTGGGTTTAAACCCTCCTCCTGTGTGAGGTCCTCCAGGTCATCCTCATCATCTTCACCATCCTGATCATCAGTTCTGCTCTGGTCCAAAGAGGGTAGTCCATCATCCAGAAGTTCACGGTTTTTGGACCATTCAGTCCACTTCTCCACCCAACAATCCTCATCCTCCAGCCAAGCATCCCCTAGTTTCCATGGAAAATGAAGTAGCAATTTTGCATAGCAGAAGAGGGGATAGGTGTCTTCATTTTCAGGGTCTGGGTGTAGGATTGGATACATGATGGTGACCCATTCCTTTGCAGCATTTGCACGCTCTGGATTTTCTCCATGTGCTCTATAGCTGTGAAGATCATACCTTCGCAAAAATGTTATGTAGGGAAGATCCTCAAGACCCTCAGGATGTGAGCTGTATTTCTCCCTGAGTGTCTTGAACTCTCTTGTTGCATTTTCAAAGTCAAGGGGGAGTGAGGGTCTTGGGGAAAGTGGGACAGATATGTAGGAGCGTGTAGAATGGTGCATCTTCAAACCATGAAGAAGGTGGCAGACCTCTTGAGCAGAGAAGTCTCGCTCAGTGATGAGGGTCTGGAGTAATTTCAAATATACCCCTTGCACCCTGTCTGAAGCATCAGACTTGTCAAGGATGGTTTGCAGGACTTCATCATATGCTCGAGATTTTGATTCAGCCTTTGTGACATATTTTGCAGCATATGCCAGGACAGCACCAAAACTTGTCACAGGACGGAAGTCAATGTTCCCACGCCAACCCAGGATGACAGTGTCATTGTAGGAGTTCAAGATTGGATCATTTCTCCTTGTACAAAGATCAATGATCACTTTCTCATTATTGACAACCCTAGTGAGTTCTTCAAGGTCCTTTGGGAAGCCAAACCGACACTGGACTTCCTTTGTGTGCTTGTTTCATCGTGAACAATATGAGGAAGGGCATTTAGAATGGCGTTGAACCTGGTTGAGGAGTTCTGCAAGTTCCTTGTGGGTGTCTTCCAGTGAAGGGTAGGATAGGGAGGATGCATGTTGATGGGAGAAAGCATGTACATCGGGATTCCAGGTTGACACAATTGGATCCCAGAAA